GAGATTGAGGATTTAAAGAGAATGTTTTGGTGAATTTTATCAAGGGGAAAGACGTTATTGTCCTTCTTCCTACAGGATTTGGGAAAAGCTTAATATACCAGTTAGCCCCGTTAGTCACGACCAAATAGCAGCGATTGGTTAAATAAAAAATGCATCCACTTATCATCCAACGAACAAGGTCAGAGGATTTCCACAAAGTGAAACCTGCACTGACATCTGTGACCTACAAAGGCAAAAGACTTCAACTTGTAGTGTAGTGGAGTGTAAAACTGAGAAAAATGACTTTTTATAAAATTTCTGTTTTGTCCAGACAAATGTATAATAGGTCGGGCTTCCAAAATTTGACAACTATTTGCTATAATGAAGAAATATTTTTATGCTAAAAATATTAAGCTCAAAATTGACCTTTGACACTTATTTGTCAGTTTCTGTTCTCCTCCAGTAACAGACACAGTTTCTGCCTTTTGTCTTCGCACGACTCCTTATTTTTGGCTCATGATACAAAAGCAGAACAGAACAGGAACTGACAAATAAGGGTCAAAGGTCAATTTTGAGCTCAATATTTTTCACGATATTTAGTCACATGATAAACGAGCTCTCAAATACGAACAAAATCACATGAACTCATTTCTGACCAAACATGATATTACTGCCTTACCGTTTCTCTTTTCTCCAGACACGGCGGGACATCACGGTGCCCGGCGGTGCCAGGTCGGGGCGGGGCTGAGAGGAGCTCCTCATATTTTGCCCGTAGACGCCAGTGTCTGTGCCCGCTACTTAATAACCTGCATCTGACTCATCGGCGCCGTTAGTCCAACCCGAAAATCCAAATGTCCTGGCCGTAATTGATCCTAAAGAGGCTGTTACAGACACGATTTTGACCCAAATGTCTGATTTTTAACTTAAATATGCACTACAATGCCAAAATAAGTCCAGGGATAGAGATACACTTCTATTTTAGACACATTTACACAGATAATCAGTAGAAAAAAAGTGATTTTGGTGTTTAGTGGCTCTTTCATACTTTAATACACTTTATACACTTGAAACACTTTAATACTTTTAATACTACTTTGGAACATTTCAGGCAGATCAATGACATATCCATAGAAACAAGCAGGTGACGGACCCTCCACCAGAAAAGTTACACAATGCATCTTTATTAAGCCATGTTATAATGTTGTAACCTCCTCAGAAACAGACCTGGAGTTGTGTTTTGTTTCATTCACACACGTTTGAGTAACACTTTATTATTAGTCTGTACATCTCCATAGCTCAAGATGCTCTGTTCCACCTTGTGATGTCATGAAGAGGTGGTTTTCAAGTGAACAGCTCCCCAATTCCAGAGCTGAAATGATCCAAATGATTCTAGTGAAGGTGTGTGGAAATATTCAGGATGTGTGAATGAAACAAAACAAAACACAACTCCAGGTCTGTTTGTGATGAGGAAACAACATTATAACAGATCAGAAAATGTTGTAATATGGGCTCTTAAGTATGTGACCAATTTTAACTTATTATATTTATTTACTCCTCAACACTTTACGGTACAAAACTATAAAAAGAAAAAAAAAAGTGTCAGTGTGACTATCAGCCTGTCACTTTGATTTGCTTGTTACTCGGGGCACTGACAGTAACCTGGAATGTTCCACAGTGAAGCATTCCAGGTGATGTGAGGGACGTGACCTAAATATCCTTTAAATATTGTGAAACCTTAAAATGGTTAAACAAGAATTAAATCCATCTTTATTATTGCTTCATTGTTTCATCATTCTCTGTATTTTTACATTTATGATTTTTTCCTGTGTTTTAAATATTTTTTAAACACAGACATTTTAATTTTATTTATGTATTTATATTTTTAAAATTTATTTATTTATTGTTTTTTTTTTGTTTTGTTTTTGCCAAATTCTGCTCTACAATTTTTTTTTTATTTTTTTTTCTCTCTCTCTCAAACCTGATTTACATTGGATTCAGTAAAGTTGTGTGGCTGTTTTGCTGCTTGTTTCCTTTGACCTAAATGCTTTAAATATTATGAAACTTTTAAATGGTTAAACAAGACCCTGAAAACAAAGAATTAAAAACAAAATCCATCTTTATTTTTATATGTATTATTATTGTTTCATTGTTTCTTCATTCTCTGTATTTTTGCAAATAGTTTTTTTTTCTGTGTTTTGAATATTATGAAAATAAACCGAATTTAATTTTATTGATGTATTTATTATTTTTATTTTAATTATTATTTATTATTATTTATGTATTTTATTTTTTTTTGCCAAATTCTGCTTTACGTATTTTATTTTTTTTTCTTAAACCTGATTTACACAGGGTTCAGAAGCGTGGTGTGGCTGTTTTGCTGCTTGTTTCCTTTGACCTAAATGCTTTAAATATTATGAAACTTTAAAATGGTTAAACAAGACTCTGAAAACAAAACAAAGAATTAAAAACAAATCCATCTTTATTTTTATATGTATCATTATTGTTTCATTGTTTCTTCATTCTCTGTATTTTTACGAATATGTTTTTTTTCTGTGTGTTTTGAATATTTATTTTATTTTATTTATGTATTTTTTTATTATTTTTTTATTTATTTTAATATTTTATTTTATGTATTTAATGTATTTATTTATTTTTATTTTTTTTAATTTTTTTGCCAAATTCTGCTTTATGAACTTTTTTTTCTTAAACCTGATTTGCACAGGGTTCGGAAGCGTGGTGTGGCTGTTCTGCTGCCTTTTGCTGCTTGTTTCCTTTGACCTGATGCTTTAAATATTATGAAACTTTAAAATAGTCAAACAAGACTCAGCTCAAAATGCTCTGTTCCATTTTTTGATGTCGTGAAGTGGTAGTTTTCACGCTGCTTTTCACGTTTTGTTCAGTAGAGATTTGCATTTCCAGCTCTGAAATGATCCAGATGATTCTAGTGAAGGTGTGTGGAGTTTAAAAACACAGTGGAGCACTTCCTGTATTACCACATGACATCACAATCCGCCTCTCATATCAGCAACAGTCTCGGCCGTCTCGCTCCCAGCATCGCCCCCGCTGCTACCGGAAACCTCCGCGTCATTTTTGACTCTCACTTCCTCAACTTCCACCTTCACATCAAAAAAGTTGCCCAATCCTGTTTTCTCCACCTCCGCACAATTAGTCAAATCAAAACTATCCTCTCCTGCCCTGATCCGGAAAAAGTCGTGCTCATCTTCTCCCGTCTAGACTATTTTAACTCCCTTCTCTCCGGCCTCGACTCCAAATCTCCTGCCTCCAACTGGTTCAGAATGCAGCGCCTCTTCTCCTCACTGGCATGATTTTAACATTGTACTTTACTGTCACTTTTAAAGCTTGTTTAGGTCTTGCACCAAGTTATATTTCTGAATTTTTAACCCCATACGAGCCTCCCACAGTTTCAGATCCTCCTTAGGTCCCTGCGTCTGTTCCAGAGTCCAGACTCCGGACGAAGGTGATGGAGTCTTTTCAGTCCGGCCTTTGCCTCGGCTTTGGAGCGACCTGCCTGAGGAGATAAAGCTCGCACCATCGGGATCATCTTTTGCCATCATAATTTTATATTTATTTATACATGCATCCCGAATTTCGAACTTCCGGTCATCGCGGAACACATACTGAGAAGGCTCCTCCGAAAAAGTGAGCATCAAGCATCAGCCGTGTTTGATTTCCCAGTGGGATGTGTGTATTGTCAAAGCCGATCTTTTCGAGTCTTTTGAGCCATATCGCTTTTGTTTTTGGTTCTGATTTTGTCATATTTTAGTTTTGGGATTCCAAAGACCATCCAACAACCACACAATGAGACCGGGATCAGAACTGAGACCGGTTTAGTCCTGTTTTAGTTCTATTTCAGTCCTGTTTCAGTCCTGATTTAGTCCTGGTTTAGTCCTGTTTTAGTCCTGCTGTAGTCCTGGTTTAGTCCTGGTTTAGTCCTGTTTTAGTCCTGGTTCAGTCCTGGTTTAGTCCTGTTTCAGTCCTGTTTTAGTCCTGGTTCAGTCCCAATTTAATCCTGGTTTAGTCCTGTTGTAGTCCCGTTTCAGTCCTGGTTCAATCCTGTTTCAGTCCTGTTTTAGTCCTGGTTAAGTCTTGTTTTAGTCCTGGTTCAGTCCTGTTTCAGTCCTGTTTCAGTCCTGGTTCAGTCCTGGTTCAGTCCTGTTTTAGTCCTGTTTATGTCCTGGTTTAGTCCTGGTTCAGTCCTGGTTTAGTCCTGTTTCAGTCCTGTTTTAGTCCTGTTTTAGTCTTGTTTTAGTCCTGGTTCAGTCCTGTTTCAGTCCTGGTTTATTCCTGGTTTAGTCCTGTTTTAGTCCTGTTTATGTCCTGGTTTAGTCCTGGTTCAGTCTTGTTTTAGTCCTGGTTCAGTCCTGTTTCAGTCCTGTTTTAGTCCTGTTTCAGTCCTGTTTTAGTCTTGTTTTAGTCCTGGTTCAGTCCTGTTTCAGTCCTGTTTTAGTCCTGGTTTAGTCCTGTTTTAGTCCTGTTTTAGTCCTGTTGTAGTCCTGTTTAAGTCCTGGTTCAATCCTGTTTAAGTTCTGGTTTAGTCCTGTTTCAATCCTGTTTCAGTCCTGGTTTACCCCTGGTTTAGTCCTGGTTCAGTTCTGGTTCAGTCCAAAATCGCAGTTTAAGTTACGGAAACGGGAAACACAAAATCGCAAACTGAAAAAAACAAATCATTATCCTTTTTTTTTTTCATTTTGTTTTTGGAGACAAATAACAAAGAAAATAGGTGTTTTTTCACTTTCTTATTTTTGTTACTATTTACATTGAAAAACGACTGAACGAACGACACACAGATTGTAACTCAGGCTCTTTCAAAACACCTTCTTCTTCCATCTTTTTCCATCTTCTGTATTTTCTTTATGCATTTGCAAAATCTGTCTCCACTCATTTCCCTGTATTTGCCTTCTGCTTTCTGCGCTTCTCCTCCTCTGAGTGTGTGTGTGTGTGTGTGTACAGACTCGGCCACGCCCCCTCACGCAGCCTCCGTCTATAAAACCACCAGCCTCTGCAAAAGCTCAAGCACAACAGAGACGCACTGTGGACTCAAAATACTACTACTACTACACATACTTCCCTTCTTTTTTCATTAATATCTGTTCACGATGGTGCAGCATAAGGAGTTCCTGAAGGCGAAGGAGGTCGGGCTGCACATCTGGAGGATCGAGAACATAGAGCTGGTGCCCGTGCCGGAGAATTTGCATGGGAGCTTCTACACTGGAGATGCTTACGTGATCCTGAATACGATAAAGAAGAGAGACACCTACTACTACCAACTGCACTTCTGGTTAGGTAAGGTGCAGTTATGTTAAGAATGAGAAGAAAATATGAGAAAATATCAGGTTTTTGTGGTAGTACGCGGCAAAAAACAGCATCTAGTCAAGTTCAGATGGCTTGAATTAGGAAAGTTTTATCACGATTTGAGTTAATTTCACTTGACGAGTAAAATTATCTATAGACTTTTTGTTCTAAAATATGAAAATACATCTTACTACACTTAAAAACAACAACTTTTTGCACTTAAAATAAGAAACAAAATCGAATATTGCTTGAATTAAGAAAAACACACTTATTCCATTAGTGGATTATTTTACTTGTCAAGCTGAATTGACTCAAATAAAGTAAAATATTATTAATTAAAGTAATTTAAATTTACCTAGATGTTGTTTTTGTCCAGTGTATAAGTGCTGAAACTGTATTAATATCAGAAAAGAGCGCTTGTTGGTGTTGGAATTTGTATTTTTTGACCACAATGTATTCTTATTTTTAGTTTAGAGAACAGATTTTTAAAAACATATAGTAGAGTTGAAGGATTAAAGTGAAAGAAAATGCAATAAAATATTAAAAATGCAGATTTTTTCAGTCTTAAAAACCTGAAAAACTGAACTAAAAACAGTTTGCAGTGGTCCAAAGTTTCTCCTCACTTAAATTATACGTTCAGATCGTCACTAATGATGAGTTTATGAGCGCTTTTCGCATCTTTTTTGGTTTGTTTTGGCATCACAACTAGCATGCTAACAGTGAACTTCCTGATTCTCGAAGGATGAAACACTTTACGCTTTGATTAAACCTCCCGCAATGGATTTATTTTACTTCAATAGCCGCTTCTATCTTTATAAAATGTCTTCAAATCTTGCACAACGCACGCTGTAACTTTTCTAGTACGTGCGCCACCTTTTTGTCTCCATGGTGATGTTTTTGCTTTGCCTCGAATGTCCCACAGTACGGCATTAAACCTGCATTTATGTAATTACAGGTGTTTTAGAGCTACACTGTTACCGACACGCGCATAAACGTTGACTAAACTTAACTTGGCTTGATTTCCGTGGCGATCAGCAAACGACTGACCGAGCAAAAAAAAAGTTCCGCAGTGCCGCTTTAAATCATAAGAGTGCGGCTCAGCGTTGCAATCTGTCTGAGTGTTTCCAGCGGGATTCATTCGTGTTAATGGTCGGCTCGGTTTATGAGGTCGTCTACTTTGCGAGTTATGAAGAGTTATGAACAGGCGGTGATGGAAGAAGTGCTCCGTTTTGTTACACAGTGGGGAAAAAACGATATCTACGTAAATTAAAATGACTTAAATTAATAATATTTTACTTTATTGGAGTCGATTCAACTTGACAAGTCAAATTATCCACCAATGGAATAAGTGAGTTTTTCTTAATTCAAGCAATATTCGAGTTTGTTTCTTATTTTAAGTGTAAAAAGTTGTTGTTTTTCTTATTTTAAGTGTAACAAGATGTATTTTCTAATTTAAGTCTTGGTCCATTCATAGATAATTTACTCGTCAAGTGAAATTGACTCAAATCGTGATAAAACTCAGGGGCGGCGCTACCATTAGGCAAAAGTAGATGGCTGCTTAGGGCCCCCAAACCTGGAGGGGCCCCCAAACAATTTCCCTCAGTGCCACTAGTGACCGACGCCTCAGAGCAATTAGATTTTCTCTCAATATGACATTAAATGAGAGTAGTTTACTTTTAAACAATAATCATAAGAAAAATTATAATTATCATATGTAATGGATGTAAACAAAAATGTAATTGTACCAGCAAAAAAACAAAACAAAAATACTTTCAGTTCTAGTAGGCGACTGACAGTGTTGGGAAGGTGACTTTTAAAATGTATTCCCCTACAGATTACAGATTACATCCCCAAAATGTAGTTTGTAACGTAATCCATTATGGTACTTAAAGTGAGTAACGTAATCTGAATACTTTGGATTACTTGATGTTGTCGTGCTTTTTTAAAACTACATGAATGTAACAACCACATCCTGAAAATTCTTGTTTGTTTTCTTCAAATTGTCTGTTGAGCCCAAGTCTCACTGAACATTTATTTGTTTCTTGTAGAGAAGCAAAGACGAGGAAATCTGAACATAAGAAGTTTTATGTGCTAAAAGAAAATAAAAAGTCCAGTCTTTCCTAAACCATTCAAAATATTATTGATAGAGAAATTATTTTTATATAAGATCACTGCTGCTTTAAATTATGTCCATCCTACTGTTAGTGT